CGACATGAGTGACACTAAGTTGGCCACGCCCACCCTGGCCTACCTAGATCAAACACAACCCTGATGCGGCCCTCAATGAAATCGAGTTTGACATCGCTTGGAGCATAGGCAGGTATGGAAACTCAGCCTCAGTCTCTAACTCACTGTCAGCCTTGCATGTTTTAGGCCAAATGTAGCTGAACAATCCCAGGAAGCAAAATTCATTAGTTTTACACATGACTAGAAAAGATGTTATTTGCAAGCAACTTGCACATCAAATTACATCTGACCTTCATTTCAATTCAGAACAAATCCACGCACACGCTTGCTATTTTTACCAATGCAGCATCTTCTGCTGAAAAGATAAAAACATCAGATCTCTTTGGAGATAGAAATCACTTTGATTTTAAAAAAAAATGTTTCTGTCCCACACATTGGTGACTCTTCTTGATATTCATCCCAAGGCTAACCCAGTCTCTTTCTTCTTCCAAGCTCAAAGCTGAGAACAAGCTTGAAGAAGAGATGGAGGAAATATAAAACTTATTGCAAGACTGATAAAGGGGCGGGGGGCGGGGGAAATCCCACAGATGCATTTACGTTTATAATTTTATCCTGGCTTTTGCAAAATGCCACAGCTTTGATCATATTTCTGTCCTGGCTGTTTAATCTTCCCGTTGTTTGTTTTCCTAGGCAAGGCTCCAACACACTGCACATATGGGTCCCAGGCCATTGGAGGCTTGTATTTTTATAGGCAACAGCCCCCACCGCCACATGGTAAGCTGCTTTCCAAACAGAGGGGAATTTCAAAAGCAGATTGTAGGATAGCATGAATGATGGTTCACTAAATAAAGCTGAGAGGTTTTTTTTAAAGATTCCTTTGGATGAGCTTAAAAATGGAACTTTTTTTAGTGTGAGGGTTTTTCTTTTTTTTAAAATAAAAAAAAAGCTACAATTTGATATTCTTGTATTGTTTCCACTGTGAAATTTTTATGGTTGATTGGAGGGTTGGTAGCAAGGAGGTATATGATAGATAGGTGACAGGTGAAAGATAGATGATAGATAGCCAGGCAGGCAGGCAGATAGGGATGGATGGGTGGACAGACAGACAGAGATAATAGAGGATAGATAGATAAATGAAAGATAGGTAGATAGATAGATAGATAGATAGATAGATAGATAGATAGATAGATAGATAGATGATGGATGGACATAGGTAATAGATGATTGATAGATAAATGATAGGTAGAAAATAGATAATATAGATATATAATAGATAGATAGATGATAGACAGATAGACAGACAGACAGACAGATCAGCTGTGGACTAGATTCTACCAGAAAACCTGGAATTTAATTTTTAGAGAGAGTTAATAGTACAGAAATGAGGAGATTATAAAATGGATGGGGCTAGAATTACTAGAAAGAATTACATGGATTTCAGCAGCAGATCATGCTGAGAGGAAAAGAAGCATTAATATAAGTTGCAACAGGAATGTTAATGCTATTTACTGCTTTCCACTGATTTATAGGTTCTCATGCTCAGCCAGGCAATCTATTCAGCTATTGAGCCTCCCCTGCAGAAGAGATGGGGTGAGGCCTACACTGTTATCAAGCAACCCCAATCCTGGAAACGTAATGTCTAAAAGATCAGTTTTATTTTATTCAACTTTTATTTCCTGTCCTAGACCAGGCATCAAACTCGATTGCATCAAGGGCCACATCAGGGTTGTGTTTGAACTTGGGGGGCTGGAGAGCTGTGGCCAGGGTGGGCATGGCCAGCTCGACCTCACTTGTCTGAGGGGTACCTGTGGTGGCCCATGTGGGCCTGGGAGCGGGGATTCTCCTGCAGTCCTCTGCCAGCAAAAATGGAGCCTGTGAGGACCGCATGGCCCTCAGGAACTACACTTTCACTGGCAGAGGCACTGCAGGTCAGTCCTTTGTTAGTTCCAGGTCGGGCCAGATCTAAGCACCCTATGGGTCAGATACGGCCCGTGGGCCTTGAGTTTGATCAAGTGAGGTACTAATACCACTCTATAAAGCCTTAGTAAGACCACACCTAGAGTACTGCATCCAGTTTTGGTCACCACATTATAAAAAAGATGTTGAGACTCAAAAATAAGTGCAGAGAAGAGCAACTAGGATGATTAGGGGGCTGGAGAGTAAACATTTGAAGAACGGTTGCAGGAACTGGGCATGGTTAGTCTAGTGAAGAGAAGGTCCAGGGGAAACATGATAACAGTGTTCCAATATTTGAGGGGCTGCCACAGAGAGGAAGGGGTCAAGCTATTTTCCAAAGCACCCAAAGGCCAGACAAGGAATAATGGATGGAAACTGAACAAGGAGAGTTTTAACCTGGAAATAAGGATAAACTTTCTGACAGTGAGAACAATCAACCCATGGAACAGAAGTTGCCCTCGGAAGTTGTGGGAGCGCCATCACTTGAGACTTTCAAGAAGAAATTGGATTGCCATTTGCAGAAATGGTGTAGGGTCTCCCACTTGGGTGGGGGGGCTGGAATAGATCAGCGGTCGCCAACTGGTGGGCCATGGCCCACTGGTGGGCCTTGAGAAAATTTTGGTGGGCCACAGAGAAATCTCACTCCCAGAGCACTTCCCCAAAGCAATTAATCCAAGCTGCACAGAAACACAAGGCTGCACTGCCCGCAGGGCCTGTAGGAACGCTCCCTGCCCACTCACTCCTTACCCGGCAAACTTGCCTGCTAAAATTGCTATTTTTCCTTTTTCTGACCATCATCTGTTCTGCGGTGCCAGGAGATTTAGATTAGCTAGGAAGCAGGAAATAATTGGATTTCTTGCTTTCTAGCTAGTCTTCAGCTCTGCTTCCCTTAGGACTGAAGGTTTGCTTGCAAGCAAATTCAGTGCAGACTCACCGCAAGCAAATTTGAGAGACTGAGCTAGCCGGTGGCAGATAGATAGATCAATGAATGGATTCTGTGAGCAACTCAATCTGCCTGCTTTGCCTGATTTTGGGTAAAAATTGCTTTTTTATATATAAAAAAATTCAATATTTACATATATGGTATGTTGTGAGTTAATTTTGTGAGTTTGCTTGCTAGTAAATTTTAGGAGTTTGCTTGCAAGCAAATTTTTTGTGACAGACTGAGCTAGCCAATGGCAGATAGAAAGATCTCTGAATCAATCTGTGATTCTGTGAGCAACTCAATCTGCCTGCCTGCTTTGCCTGATTTTGGGTAAAAGTTGCTCTTTTTTTGTATAAAAAATTCAATATTTATACAAATATTTATAATATTTACATACAAGCCATGCCCAGCCAGTCACATGACCACCAAGCCACACCCACAAATTAGGCCACGCACACAGAACCGGTTAGTGGTCCCTGGGATCTAGAATTTTGAGTTTGGTGGTCCCTGAGGTCCAAAAGGTTGGCGATCGCTGGACTAGATGACCTATAAGGTCCCTTCCAATTTTGATTATCTGTTACCTGTTAACCCTGTTCTAGACCATCTATCTCCTTCAAGGAGCTTCTTTTCTTATAAAAAGGTAAAGATTTCCCTGTCTGTCTGACTTTATGGCATGGTGCTCATTTCTGTTTCTTGGCCAAGGGAGCCAGTGTTTTCTGAAGACATTTTCCATGGTCTTGTGGCCAGCATGGCTATACACCAAAGGCGCACGGAACAGTGTTACCTTTCCACCAACATGGTACCTATTAATCTACTTGCATTTGCAGGCTTTCAAACTGCTAGGTGGGCAGGAGCTGGAGCACGTTAATGGGAGCTCACCCCATTGCGTGGAGCTCAGGTCTCAAACTCAGGCTGTCAGCTCTCCAGCTGACAGGCTCAGCATCTTTAGCCGCTGAGCCTTCTTATATTTTGACTCAAATGGGAACCGTGCAGGGTTCTCTCTATCATCCTAATTCCACCTTTCTTCTTTGAGGACCTTCTATCTGATGAATGTATTCTTGTAGTATCCTCTGGACTTCCCCCCCTCCTGCCCAAATTTTTTTTTTAGCAAAGTTCAGATCACTCTTACTATCTCTCATGGACCAATACAATAATTTGGAACACAAAAGCATTTGGAAAGGATAGGAAAGGCCCTTAATATTCTCTCCCCCCCACACACACAAAATAAGTTCTTTAGCCCATTTTCAAGTTTCAAGCCCTCTTTGCAGGACACCCAGCAAGCACAGAAAACTACTGTACATCTTTGTTCCATTTCATAAACAGGGACATCCGTATATGACCCAGGGCTGATTACAGGGAGAAGATCAAGGGCTGAGTTCATCCATCATGTTCATGGGCAACAGTGTGGTTTGGCGGGAACCCAGCTCCTGGGGTTTATAAGACAGGCTTAAGGACTTGGCAATGATATGCGAGTGCAGCCACTTCCTGCAAGGAGCAGGCCACCACACCTGAGCCGTCCAAAAAAAAAAAAAAATGCTGGTGTGCTCAGGCCTCCTTTGAAGCCTCTTCAGGTGAACCTCAAGGGCAGCCTCGACCATGGAGCAGCCACGTAGGCTTCACCTGATGCCCAGATAGTGCTTGCAGGCGGGCAGGCAGCTCAATCTCTTAACGTTTGACTAACAGCTGCAAATAAAAAGGACACGGTGGGATTCCATGAAGGTCCCAAGGAAGGGAGTGCGGGTGTGCAGGTAGGATTTGGACGGGTCTCCGTTGAACGAAACCGCAGGCTCCTTCTCAAGCGAGGTCGAGGGAGGGGGCGCACGGGCGCTGCAGTGGAGCTAATAATGCAGGAGGCTGGCAAAGAGGGAAGCCGCGACGGCGGTCCCTGGCTTAGCAGGTTCCTCGCCGGCTCACCTCTCCGCGCCCCTCCAAGCCTCCATCTATGGGCGGCACCTCTAACCCCTCCACCCTCATTTGGCAAAGGCGCCGAAGGCTTTGGTCTGCTTGCTTCCCCCTCCCCGCTTCCTAGCCAGCCAACTCGCCTGCGATTGTCCCCTCAGGTGAGAGCAAAGGACGAGGAAGGCGGGGAGGGCGCCCGGGGGCGCCTCTGGCTTTGCAAAAGGAGAACCGCAGCCCTTACCTTCCACAGCCATTCTCTCAGAGCTCGCTTAGTGCATGCATAATTCGCCTGCCCAGAGATGCTTCTCCTCCTCCTCCTCCTCCTCTTTCCTCCCTTCTTCCCCCACCCCCTTCTTTCCTTCCTTCTCTTTCTCCCTTCACGGTTTTCCCTCTTGCTCATCTGCAACCGAGAAGTTCAACCTGCAGCGAGGAAGGCTTTTTTAGCTCCCTTCCCTCTGCAGCCTGGGAAATGGAGTCTCCGCCCTCCCCGCTCAAGCTGCGCCCCGGTGGCCCTTGGCGGCGACGGGGCTCCCTCACGCCCGCAGACCCCCCGCCCGACCCTCTCCGCCTGAGACCGTCCCGCCGCGGAGGAGGAACCCGCGCCTTCTTGCCCTGCCTCAGGAGCTCAAAACCGACGGGGGGCAAGGGAGACTACAATTCCCGTCATGCAACGCCGCAAGGTTTAGCGGAGACCTGGAGTGGGAACGCTTTGATTGAGCGTTTCCTTGTCAAATTAGAAAAGAAAACAGGTAAAACTGGGTTGCTGTCCGACGGCCTGGCCAAAAAAAAAAAAAAAAAAAAATGCCAGCCGCTGGCATCTGAAAGCAAAGGGAGACTTTGCTTCCCAAATGGCTTTGCTGCAAACGGGCCAAGAAATCCGACAGTGGGGATCCTACTTTCATCATTGTGTAGTAAGGTTGCACCTTCTAGGTCTTTTCTTGCCTCTTTCTTGGGCTCTTTTAGGTACCTGTCTCATATCAAGCCATGTGGGTTTCTTAGAATCATAGAGCTGGAAGGGGCCTTGGAGATCTTCTATTCTAGACCACCTGCCCAAGGCAGAAGTCCTTATACTATCCCAGACAAATGGCTGTCCAATCTTTGCTTGAAAATCTCCAGCAGTGAAACATCCGCAACTCCAGGAGGCAAGCTCTTCCCTTGGTTAATTCTTCTCATTGTCAAGAAATTCATCCTTACTTCCAAGTTGGATCTCCCACTTAGGAGCTTCCATCCATTGCTACTTGTCCTGCCCTCAGGTGGCTACAGAGAATAAATCAATACCCTCTTATTGGAAGACTTCTACGAGATCCTCCCTAAGCCTTCTCTTTGTTAAACTAGACATGTCTAGTTGCCCCAGTCATCGATTGTATGATTTAGCCTCCAGATTCCTTATCATTGTTCTTCTCTGCACTTTTTCTAGGGTCCCCAGTATCTTTTTTAGTATTGTGTTGAAGGTTGCTTAATAGTTCTCAGTCGGAGAATTCCTGTCATTTCTAGTCTGGATATTCTTCTCCGGAGATTTTACCCGTTGGTTCTTGGCCTACACTTGAGCACTAAGGAAATTCAATCCATACTTCTTCCTTGTGACAGCCCTTCAAGTATTGGAAAACAACTATCAAGTCAGTGGTGGGATTCAAAACAAGTTTTTACTATCAGTTCTGTGGGCATGGCTTGGTGGGTGTGGCAGGGGAAGGATACTGTAAAATCTCCATATCCTCCCCACTGCAGGGGGAAGGTTACTACAAAATCCCATTCCCTCCCCACCCCACTAATCTGCTTTCCAGCTCCATTCTCCTGTTCAGGGCAACCAAAGAAGACCCAGCCGATAAGCTGGGACTCGGGAGGCAGAGAATAGATGGAGGCGGGGCCAGTCAGAGGTGGTATTTGCCGGTTCTTCGAACTACTCAAAATTTCCACTACCGGTTCTCCAGAACTGGTCAGAACCTGCTGAATACCCACCTCTGTATCAAGTCTCCCGTAAGCCTTCTCTTTGTTGGGCTAGACATGCCTCATTCCCTTAGCCATTCTTCATACAATTCAGCCCCCAGGCCCCCTTACAATATTTGCTATTTTCTCTGCACTCTTTCTAGGGTTTCAGCATCTTTTCTGTATCATAGTTTTATGCTTCAAAGGAATAAAATTCACAAGGGAAGAAGAAAGCAACACCATGCTACCCTTCCTGGATATTCTCCTCAGTAGAGGCAGTGATGGTAATTTAGAAACCCAAGTCTATCATAAAACCATGCACACCAACCAAGTTCTCCACTTGCAAAGTAGCAAGCTGTGTAAGAACACTATTTAGACAAATGCACTGAATATCAATAAAGGGAAACAGATCATCTACACCACATCTTCTAACAAAATGGATGCCCGCATATATTCCCAGTGGACAAACGCCTGGAAAATGAACCATTCAGTTCTCACTTTCTCACATCCTAGAAAGGCAAGAGTCATTGCTGAGTGTGTATTTTACAAAGGGTTTAAATGTGGCTGCTTTATCCAACTGCACCCAACTGCACTGATTTTTAATAACGCATGCTAAATTTCCAACTGCACTTTCTTAAAAGTGGGGAAATACCACCCCCACCCCCACCCAGGAGGCAGGCTGCAAGTCTTGGCCAACAATATCGCCTCTTTTCATTAAACGAGATTTAAAACTATCTTTAAAAAATAATAATCCCGTGGGACAAGAAGATTTGTAGCGTCTCTACTGTCTGTTCCTGGGTCAGAACAATTAATGCATGACAAGGGTATCTTCTTTTCAGCTTTCCACCCTTCCCATTTGTATAAATGTTTTATTTCTATTAATAAGTGAAACAAGAATGGCAAAATAACATCGAACAAAGTTGTGAAATGGCATCAAACACAACAAATTAAAGAAGTGGAAGAAATCAATTTTTTGAAGCTCCATAAAATGAAATGGTTTTTGGTTTTTTCCTCTCTTGATTCCTTCACAGCAGCTCTTGGAAATTGTTCTTTGTCACTCCTAGTTGTTCTGCATTTGATCAATGAGGGTGAAAAAAATAATGTTGATCTTTGCTCCGTTAGCAACAGACAATGCAGTAGTCCTTGACTTACAATCACAATTGAGCTCAGAATTTCTACTGCTGAGCAAGATAGCTATTAAGTGAGTTTTGCTCCATTTTACAACCCTTCTTGCCACAGTAGTTAAGTGAATCACTGCAATTGTTAGTAACATGGTTGTTAAGTAAATCTGTTCTGTCCTAGGTTTCCCCAAAAAGGACTAAGCCAACTCTTGAGTCCTGTCAAAACCTCTTTTTATTAAATTAATGTGAATTTAGTGCATTCACATTCAGCTTGGCAAACCGTCTTGCAAAGGTATAATTATTAGCTCAGACCTTATCTATCCTGGAGAGCTGCCCGGGAAATATTTCCACACGCAGTGCTGGCAGATAAAGGCTGGGTTACATAGACAAATCTTCACGAGGCTGGAACGAATGAACAAACGAATGAACAAGCGAGTTTTTCCTGCAAAAGCCCTCTCCCCTTTTGCTCCTCTTTTAAACCTGATGGGAGGGGCCATTCATCGACCACCTATTGCCTTACTTTCATGTCGACACTGAGTTCTTAGTTGTTCCTTCCTTTTGGCAGCTCTGTGCATGTGCAGGCTAGGAACGGGTTCCAGAAGCTTCCCTGCCTCACTACTGTCCGAGCCCAAAGGCAGCTGATGATTGGCAGCCTGCCTTGGCCCCATCTCTGCCTCTGATGCAGAGCCCTCGTCCGAGCCTTCCTCAGCCTCCAAGAGTGGCCCAGATTCCTTCCCAACCTCCTCGCTGTCCGACTCTGCTGCCAGCTCCATCAGCCACTGGCGGGCCACAACAAAATCTGACTCCCATTGACGTTGCTTGTCAGAAAGTCACAAAAGGTGATCACATGATTCCAGGACGCTGTTATAAATACGAGTCAGTTGCCAAGCATCTGAATTTTGATCATGTGACCACAGGGAGGCTGCAATGGTCACAAGTGGGATATAAGAGTCACAGATCACTTTTTTCAGTGCTGTTATAACTTTGAACAGTCATTAAATAAATAAATGGTTGTGAGTCAAAGACTACCTGTATCATTAGAAGTGTGAACAATGAGTGTGAATAGAAATATTCAGAGTACTATAAAGCCACAAAGTTTGTGCAGTGACATTGGGTCAGGCACTCCATATTGGCAGAAAAAAACTTCATAGGATTGTTATGAAGAAAAATAGAGGAGGTCTGAATGCCCAAGTTGAAATTGGATTAAAGTTGGTAAAATCTAATAAAGTGATTGGACAAAACTTGGAGACCATGATTACAATGCTGGACAAGTTCTTGGATTGTATCTACAATGTTTTGGATATTCTGGGCTGCACGCAAGTGATGAGGATGCTCAATAATTAAGTCTTAATACCCCTTACCCCTAAGAGTATTGGTGAACCTACATTATGCATTAGATATTAATGTACAGCATATTTTTAGCAATGATGAAATCTATAGGCCTTTGGAAACCTAGAATCTATCTTCTGAGTTCTACTATTGGGTAATGGATCTTTTCCTTCGTAAGAATGTTATGCTTTCCTACATATAATTAGTTTGTTTACTTATAAAAAAAGCAAGCATTGTAAAACTCTGAAGAATTGGTGATGTTACCCAGTTTGGGTAATGAAAGATCTGCAACAAAACAACCAAGCACCAAGCACTCATTTCAACCTTGAGCTACAAATATTCTCCTTTATTTATTGTAAAAACTCTGTTAAGTCTCTAGGGCTCCTGTACCCAGAGGAAGTCAACTCCTGATGAAAATTACAAACCCCTTGGAATTTTCTTGGGAAAGGAAGGGCACATTATAATGTGGAAATCAAACACAAAGTCATGTGTTTGTTACATACACATCCTGGACAAAGAGGTGCAAAGATGCGATGCAACTTTACGATTTATTTCTTCCAAGAAACTTCCTCTTGTTTCTGCCATTATGACCTCACCTGCACTTTTTAATAAACAATACAGTTGAACTTCTGCATTTTTTATGCTGCCAATAAATTAGGAATCTTCTAGAACAAGGAACTTCAGTTTTGTTTTGTGAACTTTATACTAGTGGGCACTTTTGCAGCCTATTAGTGATATTAATTACAATAAAATCAAAAGGAGACCAATAACTTGGTAGGCATTCCTAAGGTGACCAACTTTTTTACAATGAGAAGGAGGACACAAATAAATTGAAGAAAAAAAAACAAAGCCACTTGCGCACGACACACTCTTGCGTGTGGCACATTCTCTCAAAACAATTCTCCTGTGTGGAGTGCATGCGTCTCATAATCCTGTCTCGCTGCACTATACCGAGCCTTGACGAATCGTTATGTCAAATACAAATATGTCACATCACACACAACGGATTAGATCAGCATCGATCAAATACGGAGATTTACAGATTAGTCTTCAAATATCAAAAAGGAGGACACGTAGGAGGACACTTTTCGAGAGAGGACAGAACCTACAAAAGAAGGGCTGTCCTCCCTAAAGGAGGACGGTTGGTCACCTTAGCATTCCAGTACATCATCCAGGGCAAGCCCCACAAAAGCAAATGGGCAAAG